ATAATCTTCTACTGTAATCCACTTTATTACTGTAATTTTGACTGCAACAGTAATCCAACATTTAAATAATCTTCTACTGTAATCCACTTTATTACTGTAATTTTGACTGCAACAGTAATCCAACATTTAAATAATCTTCTACTGTAATCCATTTTATTACTGTAATTTTGACTGCAACAGTAATCCAACATTTAAATAATCTACTGTAATCCACTTTATTACTGTAATTTTGACAGCAACAGTAATCCAACATATAATCTTCTACTGAAATCCACTTTATTAATGTAATTTTGACAGCAACAGTAATCCAACATATAATCTTCTACTGAAATCCACTTTTATTATCATAATTTTAATTTGAAAAAAATGAAGAAAAACAAACCTACACATTCATACATACTTATTAGCATAGAAATCAACAAATCACATGTGAAAAATTACCCCCTCCCCTTGCAGTTTCCAATGCCCCTGGGAGCGTTAATTAGAGACAATACAGTACTTTAAGTACTTACTGTAAGGTTGTGGGGATGGGATAACAATCACTGACATAGTTAGTATTCTAATCAGTCTTGTCCTATGTTTCGGCTGCTATGACAACTAACTGAATATAATTGCAAACTTCTATCAAACTTAAAATTCCCTTTTTACATTACTTTTTATGTAATAAATATGAACAGTTGTCATCTCACATCAGTTTTGTAATTTATCAGTTTTTCAGGATTTGTGAATAAGTAAGATATTTTTGTTACACTCAGTTTTGGATTTTCAAATAACTTATTCGGTAAAATATATGTACAGGTTTTTAATTAATATAATTATTTCTTGTTTCAAGTATTTGCTTAAAATCAGCTCATACTTCCTTTATAATTTGTTTGTTTATAGTGTGTTTTGTGTCTTTGAAATATGATATAGCAATCAATTGGACATACTATGTAGTGTTAGTGTAGCTGTAATGAAGAAGTGGAAAGCAAATGTTTTATTTCTGCACCACACAGTCCATGAGACAGACATCACTTACAGCTAGAACTAAAAAATGTTTTTACATTTAAATTCCAGTGATATTTTTATGGTCAATAAAATTTACCAAGCCCCATAGATGGACATTTTATAAATTATATTTATATTGATTTGAATTGTTTAGAAATCAATTACAAATCTTTATATTTTTGTAATTTAGTGTTGAAAACAAACAAGTCTCAAAAGAAGAAATATAATATTTCAAAATGTTGTGTATCATAAACAATATTAGTCTGTTTAAAATTTGTTAATGTCAGAACATGAGTGCAAGTACAAAAACTAAGAATAGTAGTAATAGTAACTTTTAGGCATTATAAGTGACACACAGCGATTTCTTTGTTTAATTTTATTTAGCTGGAAGTTGATGTGTGTAAAAAGCTATAGATATTATATGGATTATTCATGAAAAGTGAGAAGGAGCTGTGAGTGTAAAATATGCCATATAAAGTTGCTTTTAGATTCGATACACAAAGTGACCAGGATACATGACAATAAGATTTAATAATTTCATTACTGAAAATGTTCTTGTAAAGTTTTTGGACTTGAAAAGAACTCGGTTGTTTCATATGTGAAAAGAGTCACTGTCTTTGTGGCTGTCATCGTGAGTTTTATATACTTTAGTTTAAATGCAATGCAGTTTCTGTAGATTGTCCAATTATTATTATTTTAGTGATTTATGTTTTCAATTCCTTCGTTTTTGTAAAATTCTATTTTTAGTGCATCTAATTTTGTATGATTAAAATTCAGTAATAAGTTGTTTCTTGTATATGTTAATATGTATTTTATATATATATATATTGAATTTTCTTTTTTCTAATGGCTGGGTTCTGGGTGACAAAGGATGTTTTATCATCAACCAGCTATTTTGTGTTTACAGTTGTTTTTTATCACAGGTGAGCAAAAATCCAGTAGAACCCCTGAAGTTTCGCCAGTAAAAGGAAGAGACCAGCAAGATGATTCTGATTCTGACCCTGTTTGGATGCCAGTATCAAGAGTAAGTTGATTCTAATTGTTAATGTCACACCTGTCAAGGAATTTTAATCAGAAATATTGTTTATTTTAGCTTTTATTGTTTATATTCCTTTCATGGTGAACTTGTTGAATGAGACTACACAGAAAACTTAAACCATCAGCTAAATGAAAACCTTTAGCTGGAACCTAAAGTATTTATTTCAAGAACAGGGAGCAAATTTTGATTACGTAGATGTTTTAGTAATGTCATGACATAGCTTGCTAATGTGCCATGAATGTTAGCAAGGCATGAAATTACCTTTGTATAAGTGCCACCTGGGCACAGTCATCAAAACTTTTAGGAGCTTAAAGAGCTCTTTATGTGCTGAAATTCACTCCCAAGAAAATTATAATTGCCCATTTATAAGTTTATTAAATTTATTAATATATTTTTTTTCTCTTTGAGTACAAGTGTCCAGAATTACCACTGCACTGTAGCAATGGTAGGAAACAAAAAAGAATTATATAGCTTATATTTCAAGTCACAATCAGTGTTGCTAAGACCTATAATTAGGCCTTCTGACTGACATAAGGACACTTTCAGTGTTTCATTGCTACTAATATATATGTACACACACGCAGCATATTTATATATATAAAGTTAGTTATTTTGAAAAGTGACATATATATAAATTGCTGACTGTATATGCTAATAAACAAGATATAAATGCCATTTCAATATATGTAAGCCTCCACGTGACTTCAGGGCTTTATATTTAATGTTAGAAAACTAGAGAAATGCTTATACATATTAGAAGGCACAAAAAAATTTTGATAATACACAATCAGAAGGAACATGTGCAGATTCTTACTGTTGAATATTAATACACCAGTTATACTTGCATTTCAATCATTAATATTACAAGAGCCTAGTCTGAGTTTAGAAGGTTATCGTGATTGTTTCATAGGCCATGGATGATGAAAAATAAATTAGCATTAGTGCTAAAAAACTGTATACAAGTTACCTTTTGCTTATTTAGCACATCAACATGTGTATTTTATGCATAAGCATTATTTTGTCTATCAGTTTTTATTTACTGTTATTTGTCAAAGAGGATGAAGGCAGTATTAATGTATTACTTAAACAGTAGCTAGGTTACTGTCTAAAGGTATTTTAAGAGCTCTGGTTGGTAAAAAAATTGTTTTTATAGACTTAAACACTATTATATCAATTGAAAAAGAAACATTGAGAAAGTGCTATTACTTTCTGGTATAAATAACTTTATATGTAATGTATCTCTCTCTCCCTATCTGAGCTGATTAACAAAAAAGTGGGAAGTTTAAAGATTGATTAGGCTCCTGGGCCAGATGATATTTTCTCAAGAGTCTTGAAGGAGATTAAAGACTGGATATGTGAGCCACTTGCTACTATTTTTTGTCATTCCTTGAATAGTGTGCAGGTACCAGAGGATAGGAAGTTAGCTAATGTAACTCCTCCTTTCAAGGGAGGTGATAAAGATTGCCCCAGTAATTATAAACTCATTAGTCTTACATCAGTTGTGGGAAAAGTTTTGTAAAGTCTGATAAAAGATGCTTAGAAAAGTCATTTAACAAATTTTAGAATTTTATTAGATAGTCAACATGGTTTTACTAAGGGAAAGTCTTGCCTTACAAATCTTTTGACATTCTTTGAAAAGGTTACTGCTTATGTAGATAAGGGTAAAGGTGTAGATTTGGTGTATCTAAATTTTCAGAAAACATTTGACAAGGTGGCACATAAAAGGCTTGTAAAAAAATATCTCTATAGGTATGGGGGAGAAGTTATCAAATTGGATAGAAGAGTGGCTGGATGGAAGAAAGCAGAGAGTTGTTATAAATGGAGTTCAATCAAACTGTATTAATGTAACATTTTCATCAGTGACATAGATGAAAGAATGGTCAATAAATCATTTAAATTTGCAGATGATATTAAGGTCTTGGGTGTTTCTAGTGGTGAAGAGGATGCTGCTGATTTAGAAAAGGATTTAGATCATTTGTGAGTTGGGCAAATAAAAGTAAATGGGTTTTAATTATAATAAATGCAAG